ACACATTTTGCGATATCTCAATGGTACCATCGACCTTGGTTTATTCTACCGCAAAGATGCCAAGGCCACTCTTGTTGGATATGCTGATGCAGGATATTTGTCTGATCCGCAAAAAGCAAAATCTCAAACAGGATATGTGTTTACTTATGGAGATACCGCAATATCATGGAGATCAATGAAACAAACTTTGACTGCCACATCATCAAATCACGCGGAGTTGATAGCTCTCTATGAAACAGGTAGAGAATGTGTATGGTTGCGATCAATGATCCAACATATCCAGAGTGGGTGCGGTATAGAAACAATTACCAGTCATCCGACTCCTATATATGAAGACAATACTGCATGCATTGCTCAAGTGAAAGGAGGTTACATCAAAGGAGACCGAACAAAGCATATATCACCAAAGTTCTTCTCAACACATGATCTCGAGAAAGATGGAAAAGTTGACATCAAGCAAATCAAGTCTAGTGAGAATCTCGCTGATTTATTTACAAAAGCGTTACCCCCGAAGAAATTTGAAGAACTCGTACACAAGATTGGCATGCGTCGCCTCCGTCAATTATGCTAAGCTGAGGGGGAGAATTTTATGAATTGTACTCTTTTTCCCTTGATCATCCCACTGGGTTTTTTCTGACAAGGTTTTTAACGAGGCAGTACATAAAATTAGAATGGGTTCCTAAACTATACCCATTTCACGAAGTACCCATCATTAATTGAAAATGAACATTCAAGGGGGAGTGTTATGAAATTAATGATTGTTCATTTATTCAATTAATCAGGCCTATTTTCTAGAATAGTAGATTAAGACAACCATTGATGAGTATCAATTATGTACAGTACTTCCCATTTGTATTTGTATCCATACCAAGGCTCTCCACTATAAATAGAGGCCTAATCCCTGCATTGTAATCACCATTAAGTATAAGAAGAAGAGTGAAGAGTTAATAGAGAGAAGAAATCAGAAATATATTATATCCATTCTCATAATCTTTGAGTAGTTTTTCTCTCATTTTATAACAATTATTACTTTTATTATTTTACTATAATTATTATTATAATTATTACTATTACTATTATTATTTTAGAATAAAAGTTATTGATTGTATTATAATATTCCGTGAATGATCATTATAGTTTTTAAAATTTATTAAATTATGGTAATAATTTTAAGTTTAACTTGAATCGAATTTAGACCAGATCATATTAGATCTATTCAGATCAAGTTTAATCAAATTCAAAATTTTAAAAAATCAAGCCCTGCTTGCACTGATGCCGGTGAGAACATGTGCAATCCCAAAATCTGCACGACAAACTCCCATGTTTAAGACTTGTTTATTTCTTTTACTTATTCCAAAAGATTTTGGACTTACGTTAATTTAATTTTTAGATGTCACGCATGACAACTATAGATCTTATTCTTCACCTTTGACAAAATGCACTATCCATTTTCTTGGAATATAAAAGAAACCTAAACTTCCCCGGCCTAAGAAATCTCGGTTGACTTTTTTTTAATTATCAAAATTTATACTACTTCGTAAATAAGCAAAATAGAAATACTCCAACCTTCCATAAAAATTAGGGGCTCTATGATGCCCTTGCTTATCAATAGACATGGACGCCCCTCCACTTAAATATTGATATGTGTGGATCAATTTTAACTTCGTTGTTATGTGGATTAAGAGTCCTTTCGAAGGACTTATTTTTTCTATTAATTATTATTATTAAAATCAGATCCAATCAGATTAGATGAGATCCAATCAAATCAAATCAAATCAAATTCAATCCGATCATATCCAATCAAATCACATCAGATCCAATCATACCAGATCAGATCCAATCAAATCAGATTAGATCTAATCAGATCATTTATAGACGTAGGGTTTGGGGCTAAAAGTTTTGGTTCGTGACATGGGTAGATTTAGGTAACTAAATTTTATTAATTATTATCTTAATATAAAATTTTAATATTTATTTATTAAATTGTAACATCTCTTTTATGCATAACTTTTTACACGTAAGTCTAAATTTAACAAACTATATAACGTTAGTTACGTTTTTACGATATCTACCCAATGAGTCAAATTTTGAATAAAAAGGTTAATGTATAAATAGTTTATATTTTTGAGTAAGAAAATGTTATATTTATTTTTTCAAAGTGATGGTTAACAACTAAACCAGTTTTCAGGGTGTTACTTTTGTGTAATATCCCGTGTTAAGATTGGATGGAAAGTGCTCAAAAAGATTGACAGTACTACTTATATCAACAAAATATATCTTCTTTTCGAAAGTTCATCCCTTAGAAACTTCAAAGTTAAGCGTGCTTGACTTGGAGCAATTCTAGGATGGGTGACTCTTCAGGGAAGTTCCTTGGGCGCGTACGAGTGAGGACAAAATACGCAGGAAAGACTTGTGTTGGTTTGTAGGGTCAGTCTACAATTCTATGAGCTGACACTTTCGGCCAGTGGTTGTATTTAGAAGGATGTGTGATAAACCTGTCGGCTCTTGGTTGTGGTCTCATTCGGGTAGGGCGGGAGGCAGGGGGCTTGAGAGGAGTGCAGGGGGAGTTTCGAGGGGGTTGGATCGAGAAAGTAAAAGTCACCAATTTTGTGAATGAAACATTATAGGTGCACCAAGTCAACATTGTCACCTAGCATCACCATAAATTCACAGTCAACGAAATCGCTCCTTTTTTTTTAATTTTTGGTGGAAATGGACGGGGAAGACCTCGCAAGATGCAGATAAAGACTTGTGATAGATGCTCTGAATCTGAAATGCTCAACCCGAACTATGAGAAGTAATTATTTTAGTAATACTGAATTTTGAGAGTAATATGTATGGTAAAAATTAGTAGAGGGTAAAGAATGAAACTCCACACAAATTAGTAGAGAGTAAAAAAATAGTAGAAAGTAAAAACGTTGAGGAATAATTATTTTAGTAGTACTGATTCTACTGAATTCTGAATCTTTAGTTTCTTCTTACATGAACATCATCCACATACATACAATAATACACATACTAATCACAACTATTCTTTTTCTTTGTTGTTATTTTGGTACAACATGCAACTAAAGTGTGTACATACATACCCATGCCTATCTTCTCTGGAAGTTGAAAGACCTAATGGCGAAGGCGAAAACGAAGCTGAAAATAACCGGGAAAACAACGGTCATAGCCGCAACCGCTCCAAGGAAATCATGTTTGAACCCAAAGTAATCTTCCAGGAACTGCTTCACGGTCTGATCAGAATCGCCCATTTTATCCTCAATATCTCCGAACTGCGATGCCACCAACCCGTACAATGTCCACGCCACCGGGCACGCCCAGTAGTACCACCTCCACCACACAGGCATGCGCTGCAGTTACATGAAACAATGAAAATAAATGTAAATGGTACTCCTAATTTGAATGTAAATAGTATTATTCTTAGGTGTGTAAAAAAATCCTTACAGGGCGCGGAATGATGAAACCGGAAAACACATTCCACAAACCATAGAAGAAGGAAGCGACCACGGCTGCAATGCCTTCGTTGGGAGTAACTGCCACAGTCGTCATGCCGTAGAGCGTAAAGTATAACAAGCAGAACGCCATTATGAAAATGTACCACAAAAATTTGGCCACCGTCCATTCGAATCCAATCATTGCATACACAAGCACACCATACACGGATGCTTGAACAAATACGTAAGGGATCTCAATGACAATCTGTCGCAAACAAGAAGAATATTACGTACGTATGACATTTTTACCATCCCCATTTGCGCTTCGGGTAGTAAAAAAATAAGTAGAAAACTCACTTGTCCGAAGGCGTATGGTAAGGAAGAATACATTCCGGCTGCCTTCTCCCTGTAGAACACGGTGCGTTCAACCGCGACCACTGGCTGTACAGCAGAGGAGTTTTGCACACCTAAGAAGAGAACCGCGGTGTACATGGACCCCATAGCATTAAACAGGTCTTGTCTTTTTTCACTGAAATATACAAATACCAAAAGGGAAGAAATTCAAATCCACTTTCCAATAAGCAGTATTGTACAATTCTTTAAGATGTGTTTGGAGTACTTACGTTTTGGTACCGAGGTCCCAAAACATTGTCCCAAAAGCCAGTCCTATGGCAAGTGTGAAGATGAACCTAACCGCGGTGTAAGATGTGTTACGCCAATAAGACCAGTGTTGTTTCCAGAGGCAGGCCATGCACTGGCTCCAGAAACTCTGTGAGTATTGAGTTGGGAAGAACAAGTCCTTGGAACCGGGGCGAGGCGTGCTTAATTCACTGATCAAAGCTTTGTTCCTTCTGTAGAGATCTGAGTTCTTGTACACATCTGTGAAATCAACTCCTAGTAACATTTCTTGAGAAGAAGCTGTCACTTCCAACATCCATGTTGCTGGATTATATCCATCCTTGATTTTCGGCACTCCTTGAATCGACTATTTCCACACAAGTAAATCAGATTAATTAGTAGTAGATCAGAAATCAATATAAAACTTTTGTGGTTTTGAAACGCACCTCGAAGTAGTGTATCAAATGGGTTGAATTACGCCCCAATGGCCCGACATAAATCTCTTGTCCTCCTCTCTTCATTAGAAAGAGCTGCAAAAAATGTTTTCATCTTCAGTTTATTGTCTGAGTTTCCAATAATTATGAGTATAATAAAGGAAATTCGATTCACCTCGTCAAAGGCTTCAAAAATGTCAATGCTGGGTTGATGAATGGTGCAGACGACAGTCCTCCCAGTGTCAACAGTGTTCCTCACAGTTCTCATCACAATCGCAGCAGCTCTGGCGTCCAGTCCTGAAGTTGGCTCATCCATGAATATGATTGATGGGTTGGCCACCAACTCAACTGCGATTGTTAGCCTTTTGCGTTGCTCGGTTGAGAGACCGTTGACTCCGGGCAACCCAACAAGCGCGGATCTCAATGGGTTCAGCTCAACTAGTTCCATCACTTCGTCAACGAACATCTGCAATTAAAAATTTACCCAAGCGTAAATATTTGGCTCTGAGAGTTATCCCATCATATTATTTAAAAAAAAAAAATAATAACCTTTCTAGCATTAGCATCAACATCCTCTGGCAAACGCAGCCATGCTGAGTAAACCAAGGACTCGTGAACAGTGACAAATGGAGAATGGATGTCATTCTGTTCACAGTAACCTGAGATGCGGGTAAAGGTTTCTTGTTTCTTTGGATATCCTGAAATTTTGATGTCTCCATCAATGTATCCACCTGTTTTTCTTCCTGCCAAGACATCCATAAGGGTTGTTTTCCCGGCCCCACTCACACCCATCAATGCAGTGAGAACACCCGGCCTGAAGGCTCCGCTCACGCCCTTTAAAAGGACCAATCTATCCTCAGTGGCACCCTGCTCTTTCATTTCCTGTGGCATGTCGACAGAGTATGTAACATTGTCAAATGTCAGGGAATGTGGTTCAAATGGAAGAACCATTCCTCGCTTATGTGTCTCAGTTAAGGTGGCAACATTGGACTGTTCTTGAGAGGTGTTTCGGATAGAAGAAGTTTCGTTGTCATCATCATCAGCTATGAGAGCTTGGGACTTTCCAAATGCTGCATTAACAGTATATTTAATATTATACACACACACACACTCTTGAAAATCGATTGAGAATTGGGATTAAAATTGAAAATATACTTACGGTTAAGAAATCGGAGAGCTATAGCATAGCAGGCATTGAATAGAATTACGAACCCGAAAAGGGCCCCGATACCTATCCAATACCATTTAGCTTCCGGGAAGAACCCTCTTGATCTCACAACTGCATCTCCAAGTGGTTCGGTACCATTTGGAGCAATCTGTTGAAATTCGAAATATAAAAAACAGTGCAATTCAAAGGTTATGTAGATGTAGTTTATCAAGAATTGTATGTGCATACATGTCTCCAGCTCTTCCCTTTAAACTCATTAACAAGAATTGCATTCATGCCATACATCATGGCTGAACACCAGTACCCCCAAATCCACCAATCCTTCACATCATCTGCAGAGTTCAGATGCAAAAAAGACAATGTTCTTACCAGACAATTCAAGCAAGGGTTGCGTAATATAAGAAATCAGACAGTTCATATAAGGCGTGAATAAGAAAGTACGACAAAGCACAAACCTCGAGAGAGCACAAATCCACCCAAAGCAAACAACAAAAGCAATGCAAAGGATCCAAATGTGTTTGCGACTACCATAGTCCTACCCATAGCTGCAATGAATCGGAACAATGCAGAAGCCATCTGGTTCACCAATATCATTACTAGTAACTGTTTGAACAACCTGAACGAAACAGAAAATAAGGAGTAAAGAGGAGGTAGAAAGCAAGAGTCACTTATTGGTCAATAACGAAGCACGTAATGAAATTGTGATATCCACCTGCCAACATTTGGATCAAACCCAATGACATAGTAAGTAACAAACACCCAAAGACTGGCTTCCACAAGTGTGATAGGCACTTTGAGGATCCACGAAGGAAGAGCATAAGCCCAAGGAGGGAAGAACCGCAGGTCCCTTTGCTTGTAGAACACCGGCAACTTGTAAATGGTCATTGGAAGCTCAGCAAAACCATTGAACATAGCCATAAACACACCCAAAAATAAGGCACCCACAAAAATCCCACCATCGGTCTCATTATTTTTCTTCATTTCGGTTCGGAAAAATAGTGTCATGGCAATGAAAACCATCACCGAAAGCTGAATACAGTAAATGTGTACAAAGAAATCCAGCTCAGTTATAATCCATCACAATGTGAAATAAAGAAATCTAAAAAAAAATTTAAAACTAACCTGAAATATTTTGAAGATGTAAGCAAATGAGTTTCTTTGCATTAGCAAATATTCTCTATCAGTGCAAACCTTCAAGAGTTGCCTCTTTCCTATACCATAATTCTCATTTGTTAACGCGGCCGGGTGGCTTTTGGTTTTATCAAAGGGGACCGAAAGCTCATCCGCCATCGTCTTCCCAACGTGGAAGGATTGGTATGCCTCTGCAAATTCCTTGGCCTTCACGAACCTATAAGTCTCACCCCTGCGGATCCAATACTGCTGTTGATCTTTCTTTGAAGTCACCTGCCAAAAAAAACTCGGTTTTCAGCACGAATCGGAAGAAGAAATAACAATTTTTTCTAGTACAAATCCGAAATGCATACTTCTTGCAAGAAATCGGCGACCCCTTTTCTCTCGGGGCATCTGAAGCCCATGGATTCGAAGAAATCCAGGATGTCTTCACGAGGCCCATTGTAGACGACATACCCGTCCGACAACAGAACGATGTCGTCGAAGAGGTTGTAGGTCTCCGGCGCCGGTTGGAGCAGAGAAATGAAGGCCGTGCCCTTGAGGATGTGGACGAATTGCCTGAGCGAGTTGACGATGGAATAGGTGGTGGAACTGTCGAGACCCGTCGAGATTTCGTCCATGAATAGGGCTTTCGCCGGCCCGACAATCATTTCGCCGGTGGTGACCCGCTTTTTCTGCCCGCCGGAGATACCCCGTATCATTTGGTCGCCGACCAGCGTGTCCGCACATACTTCCAATCCCAGAATCTGCACGACAACCCATGCTTGAGATTCCCGTTTTCTTTAACTGATTCCAAGTTTTCATGAATTTTTTTCACTCCATATTTGATGTGGTTGGGTCCAAGACAAGACAAGACAAGAATTACCTTAAGAACATAATCAGTTAGCACTTTTGCTTCTTGTCCTTCTGTTGCTGCTGCCTGTCCACACAGTTTATCCGTTAATGGATATTCGAAATTTCTCAAATTAATAATTGTTTACCAAAACATGGACGATATAGGGAAATAAAAATATGATCTTTTTAATGTTTGACTAACAATATTAGTTAAAATATGTTAGGAAAAAATAATTAAACTTGAATAAACTTGAGAGAGAGAAAAGTAAAATTAAAATAAAGAGAAATTTACCTAAATAGCATTAAAATATAATGACTTTCTCTAAATAGCATCATATGTTTTTATTTCCCAATGTAGTACTTTTAGTCACTATTCAAGTAATGTACATCATCAGTAGACATTATTCTTTCTTCTAAACGTTATTAAATGCTACCTAGAGTATTTAAGAAATAAAAAAGTTTAAATCAGACGTTAAAAGATGACTTCTTTTTATTTCTTAAAGTAGAATGAAAAACAACAAAGTAGCAATATACCTTCATGTAGACATCAATGTCCGGATCCGGTTTGATATTCGCTGCTTTCTCTCTCCTCGAGAGCTCTACCAACATTTCTACGTATATTTCCCAACATTATTCAAAGTAATTATTACTACTATTCATATGTTCCCACGAGACTCCAAAAATATGGAAAAAAGACAAATTAACAAAAGTCAAAGTACCATAACGAGATCCGATGCCCTGACAAGCAGCGGAGAATTCCAGCGTCTCTCGGACGGTCATCTCTCCGATGTGCAGGTCGTGCTGCCCGATGTAAGCCGCGGTTCGCTGGGGCACGAACTCGTGTAGTTCGTGCCCGTTGTAGGTCACCCTTCCCCCCACCTTCAGATCCTTGTCCAGCTTCCCGGCCAACGCAAGGAGAAGCGTCGTCTTCCCGGACCCGGGAGGCCCCAACAGAAGTGTCATCCTGCTCGGCTTGACGATCCCGCTCACGTTATTCAGGATTGTGATGTTCTTCTTTTTGCTCTTGGTCACGTGAAGCGCGTTTAATAGGTCTTCTACGAAATTGGTGAAGAAATTGACGAACGAAGGCAGCGCTCTGCTGCCTTCGTAAGCCAATGCCTCCACATTCACATTCTCGTATCTCACTTCAATGCTCGGCAAATCAATCCCAACTCTGTACCAAGCCACAATAATATAATAATAAACGTTGAAAGTTGCATTGACAAAGTGCTACTTCATTCACTATACAAAAAAAAAGCAAACTCTAGCCACAAAATCATCAAATTAAACCTGTCTATTCTGTTCCTGAGCTTCATCAAGAACTTCTCGTTGTCCTCATCAGCGACATTCACGAGCCTCTCGAGCAGAGCCTTCCTCTGTTGGAACCCGAGGCCGTCGATGTCCACCTCCGCAGCGGGCCCTTGCGAGCCGAAAATGAGCCCTTTCCTGAGGCGGTCGAACGTGGGCAGCTTCTCCAACGCCGCCCACCTCAGAGCCTCCTCGTCGTCCTCGTCCCTCGTCGACCGGGAGAACGCCTCCGCCCCGGTGCTCCTCCATATGGAGCTGCTAGCTGCCCTCAGGCTGCCCCTCACACTCCCTCCTCTCGCCGTGACACCCAAATCGGCCGCCTCCATTGTTTTGTTATATTTCCCTCCTCCCCACCGCCGCCGCCGTCACCCTCCACCGTACCGCCGTGTGTTGTAGGTTTCTACTCCGTATGTGTATTATGGAAATCAAAGAAGAAATGAATATATGTGTTTGTGGGCCGGGAAGATATATATGGCCAGTTTTTATAGTTGCAGATCGAGTCAGCCCGTGTTACATTTCATCACTAGTTACGTACGTGAGAGACAGAAAAATGGAATTTAAATAAATAAATAAAGAAAAATGCTAAATAAAGGTGTACCCTATTTGTCCCCCATCCCCTCCTTGTCCACATAATTGGACAAAAAAATTTAAAAAAGATAAATAAATAAAAATTAATTAAAAATGAGTGGTGGAGAAGGGTGTGGTGTACAAATGGGGTACACTTTTGGTGTACCCATAGCATTGCTCATAAATAAAAGATGAGCTCTATTCCCAAGGGTCCCTGCAGACATGGTCGGATGGTCATTGAGAAGAGGTAAATTAGAATTTGATCGCATATTAGTGACAAATAGTGAAGCTTGTGTTGGAAATTTTAAAGTAAATTGGACATTTTCGGACATAAATTCGGTAGGATCCACAAAATTATTTTCCAAAATAATTATGGACGATTAATCTCGTAAGTAAGACGAACGTCTTGACATATGACACGTCATAAACGGTGCTCGGGTGAATGAGAAATTAATTCTCAAAGTTGAATACTAAGATAGAGTAAATGACTTTGTCCCACACAGTTTTCTAAACCTTTCGTATTCTCATATTTAAGCTTAGGCATTGAATTGAGCTTATGAAAGGAACAAGAAGAGGACTTCTCGCGCGCCACCGCCCGTCTGGCTCGGCACGTCACGACATACGCGCGCGCGTCGGGTTTGGTCGGGTCGCGGCTGCGGCGTGGCTAATTTTTTACGAGACCGAATTGAACACGCGTGGACACTTCGTGATGAACGAAGTGCCGTCCAAAAGCATGCATGCACAAAGGAGGCGAAGAGGGTGCTGCGTCCCTTCGTAATTTCCGTCCAGCCCAAGCGAAGAGCCAACTCCCCTCCTATAAAAGGAGGGGTTGGTTGCAGGGAGAATGAACTCACTTGAAATCTCTCTCTCTGTCTTTGCATTCTAAAATGTTCCGATAACTCCCCAACTCCGATCATCTTCTCCGGCAGTAACACCCATCCTTCTCGTTCGTCGGTGCACGGTTCTACCTGGTACTTACAAAGGCCTTATGCAATTATGCTTTAACGTAGTTACCTCCTAGTACAGTTATCAGGAATCGAGCTCGAGTCTTAGCTCATTAACACTCTTTGCTTTGCCAACGAGCACAAAAAATGGAATTAAGTCGTCGGACGAGAAAGCTAAGTCATCGAAATTTCGATCTGTGTGGACGCACATATATAGCTGCTATATAGGCCATTGAATAATGGTTTAACTCTAAAGTCTCAACTCTCAACCCTCCTAATGGCGCAAAAAGAGGGAAGATTCATTTTTTGTTATTTTTAATCTTATATAATAAAAAAATACTCGTTTCGTTTTAAAACGTTTATCCCGTTTCTATTTAAGAGATTTGACCGACTTTATATTCAATTCAATTTATTTAATTGTAGGTTTAAAATTATAAAATAAATTTAAATATTTAAAATCGCATCAAAAATTCTACAAAACAAGAGGTGACAAGACTACATTATTTTATCAAATAAAAAAAATAAACAAATAAAGTGATCAAAATTTTTCTGTGTAAATAATAACTGAAAAGAACATTTTAGGAGGGAAGAATATTTATTTACGGTAATATTCCCTATATCCAATCAATCTAATGCCACTGTATGAAGCCGTTGAATTAGGCACTCTAATGGAATATTTTATCCATTACCCAAACAATAAACACTAGAGGTGGCACACGGTTCGTGACGTTTCGATATTTTTTAAAAATATGTATCGTGCCGTTATTATTTACGGAGTAACCGGTTCGGTAGAGTTCCGTTTTTTACAACTAAATCCATTCGGTATGTTACCATCCGGAAACGTGATGATACCATGCCAAATTAATGCAAAAAAAAAGAACCATATTACTTTGTTGTTTTGATATTTTTAATCATAAAAAACAATCGACATAACTAAAAAAATTGATGCACTATATTTTTATGTGTTTATACTCAACAATTACATTGTTAGGTTAAAAATTTTTTGACGAAACATAATTGCAGTTTGACTTTTCAACAAATAAATTATAAGTGGTAATAAAGTACGAGTACCATAAAAACATAAAATTTAAGTATGTTAAAGTTACACCAAATAGATATGACTTAAGTTGACTCAAAGATAACAAATGAAAATGTTTAATTAATATATTAATTTAACATGTGAGAGGTAGCGATTCAATTCTATATTTTCAATTTTTTGGAACCATCTCGTACCGTTTTCAAAATGGTTTAGTTCAATTCAAAATATAATTTACAAGAATCATTTGAAACCCCATTTTTTGGTTCGACACAATGTTGGTCCAGTTCGTTTCAATGTCCAACCGGTATTTTTGCCCGCCCGTTATAAACACATACAAAGTTTTAATAACTCGCGTAAATAATAATGAGTACCTCATAATTGTATGTTGTCTGTGAGATAAATTGATACTCTCTCCATCCAAATTGGTTCTTCCTATACACTATTTATGCAATCAAATTTTATTCATTTTATTTAGTTATTTTAAATTTTTGTTACAAATGTCATACAGAGTAAAAAAGTATAGTCATGTCACTTCTTATTTTGTATAAACTTTTAGAGTCAAATGCATTAACAATTCTTGTAGTCTTCCATAAGTTGGTAAGTAGTCTCGATACTTTTAAAAGTTACAAAATAATCCTTATGTCCAAAGAACTGTTTCATATATAGTCCTTCCTTTAGATAAACGTGAAGTACGCAAAACATGCGCATACTATGAAAAAATGTGAAGCATGAAATAAAATGAAGAAGCTAATCTGACAAAACTACCCTCGTCTTCGTGATTAAAAGCAGGGAAGGGTCTTCTCTTGTAGCATAAGATATTACCCTAAAATATAACTACTTGAAGAAAGGAACTACGTCAGGCCGTCGGTCTCATTCTTCACATTTTCCTTAAAGAAATGACTAATTATGCAACAATTCTTTTATCACAAGGACTATTTTGCAATTTTTAAAAGTCCAAGATCTGTTTATCCATTTATTGAAGAACACGAGGACTATTTATGCATATTACTCAAACTATTATCTACTTTTTAAATACCCTAAAATATATAAGTTTTATTTTTGAATTTTACACCTACAATCAAACAAATTGAATTCAATATTGACTTTTATCTAGTTTTGAAATATAATTTTTTTTTTGAATTTTACATCTACAATCAAATAAAATTGGTCAAGCCTCGTAATACATAATACGTTGGAATTCATCCCACATCCGAGAAATAATATAAACACTACTCCCATATAAAGAAAGGTGAAAGACTACTCATTAGCTTAAACTTTTGGATAGAAAATGAATCCAGACTTTATATGAGCAAGTGATCAAATTTCACCGGACACTCTATTTAGTTCACTCGACCCACCGAAATTCCAACATAATAAGAACCACCTTGGATGGAAGGAGTATTAAAGCTGGTGTCAAAAATAGTATGGAGTATGCTCCTAGCATTTTTTCTTTAGATATTTAAAATAAACAATAAGCAAAAAATTTAAAACTTTTAAAACACTTTAACAAGGACCATGCATTCAATGGAATGACTTGTATCAATAATAAGGGCCAGAAAAACTCCATGTCAAGAGCTCTTCTGTGGTTGAACATACATAGGAGAGGAGACCCATTGAATCTTAAGACTTATTACATGAAGAGGACTTGAAAGTAAATATATAACAATAAAGTTCCCAAGCATCCATACAAAATTTATTAGCTCCTCCACCAGAGAATATGTCACACTGTTTAAACTGGGGTAAGAACATATATACCTACCTGCTCTGGAAATTGAATGCCTTAATGGCAAAGGCGAAAGTGAATCCGAAGACGACCGGGAACGCAACAATCACAGCCGCAACCACTCCAAGAAAATCGTGTTTATACCCAAAGTAATCTTCCAGGAACTGCTTCACAGTCTGATCAGAGTCGCTCATTTTGTCGTCAATATCTCCAAATTGTGACACCACCAATCCGTACATTGTCCATGCCACCGGGCACGCCCAGAAGTACCATCTCCACCACACAGGCATGCTCTGTTATTATATACATCACATAAAATGTTAATGGTATTATTCCTCATTGAGCGTTACGTGTGTTATTTGTTTTTTAAAAAAAACTTACTGGTCGTGGAATGATGAATCCGGAGAAGAGATCCCATGCACAATAGAAGAAGACTGCGACGATGGCTGCAATGCTCTCATTGGGGGTAACAGCGACAGACATCATCCCGTAGAATGAGAAGTATAGCAATGAGAAGAACATCATGAAAAAGTACCAAAAGAATTTAGCCGCGGTCCATTCAAATCCAATCATCGCATAAACGATCACACTGTAAATTGCTGATTGTGAAATAATGTAAGGAATTTCAATAACAACCTGTCACAAACCGGAAAAAAAAACAATGTTACGATGATTTACATTTTTAACAGTTGTGCTGCGCGTAACCAAAAAAGTGGGGTACAAAAGTCGAAAGCTCACTTGCCCAAAGGCATACGGCAATGCAGAATACATTCTTGCTGCCTTCTCCCTATAGAACACTGTGCGTTCAACCACGACCACTGGCTGAACTGCAGAAGAGTATTCCACACCTAGGAAGAGAATTGCGGCATACATGGACCCCATAGCATTAAACAAATCTTGCCTTCTTTCACTGAAAGATAAGAAACCACGAGATTTACCACCTAAAAATACAAGTTTGTCAACTAAAAAGAAAAAAAATGAAGTGTTCGAAATTACGTTTTGGTACCAAGGTCCCAGAACATTGTCCCAAAAGCCAATGCTATTACGGCTGTGTAGAGGAACCTAACTGCAGTGTAAGATGTGTTACGCCAGTACGACAGGTGTTGCTTCCACAGACATGCCAGGAATTGGATCCAGAAACTCTGTGAATATTCTGTTGGGAAATACAAGTCCTTGGAACCAGGGAGAGGTGAGCTGAGTTCAGTTATCAAAGCTTTGTTTCTTCTGAAGAGGTCTGAGTTCTTATAGATATCAGAGAAATCAACCCCTAGTAACATTTCTTGAGCTGAAGCTGACACTTCCAACATCCATGTTGCTGGGTTGTATCCGTCTTTGATTTTTGCCACTCCGTGAATTGACTACTTTCACGCAAGTAAATCAGATCAGTAATGTGGTAATAGATTAAAAGTGGGTTAGTTGAGGGCTTGAAACTTGCCTCAAAATACTTGATCAAATGACATGAATTGCGGCCCAATTGGCCCACATAGATCTCTTGTCCTCCTCTCTTCATTAGAAAGAGCTGCAAAATGTATTCTTCAAAAGGGTATTGTCTACCACTCGATTAAATTCTTCGATCATCAGTTTACTAGTTTTTAAATAATTTGATTTACCTCATCGAAAGCTTCAAAAATGTCGATGCTGGGCTGATGAATGGTGCAGACAACATTTCTGCCAGTGTCAACAGTGTTCCTCACAGTTCTCATCACAATTGCAGCAGCTCTGGCGTCTAGACCTGAAGTTGGCTCGTCCATGAATATGATTGACGGGTTGGCCACTAACTCAACTGCTATTGTTAGCCTTTTGCGTTGTTCGGTTGAGAGACCGTTAACCCCGGGCAACCCAACAAGGGCTGACCTCAATGGATTCAGCTCAACTAGTTCCATTACTTCTTCAACAAACATCTGCATTTAAATTAACCACACGTAAATGTTCTCACATGGAGAATTAGTATATCTTGTCATTAATAAGGATGAAAAGTTATTTCGATTTACTAACCTCTCTAGCATTACCATCCACACCCTCTGGTAAACGTAGCCAAGCTGAGTAAACTAGTGATTCGTGAACAGTGACAAAGGGAGAATGGATGTCATTCTGTTCACAATAACCTGAAATTCGGGCAAAAGTCTCTTGTTTCTTCGGATACCCAGAAGTTTTAATGTCTCCATCAATGTATCCACCAGTTTTTCTTCCCGCCAAGACATCCATAAGGGTTGTTTTCCCGGCCCCACTAACACCCATCAAAGCAGTGAGAACACCAGGTCTGAAGGCTCCACTCACACCCTTTAGAAGCACCAATCTATCCTCGGTAGCACCCTGAGCTTTCATTTCCTGAGGCATGTCGACAGAGTACACAACATTGTCAAACGTGAGGGAATGGGGCTCGAATGGAAGAACCATTCCCCGTTTTTGTGTCATTGAGGTATCGCTTAGTGTAGCAGCTCCGCCAGTAGTACCAACTTGGGATGTTGGTTGAGTATTATTTTGGATAGAACTAGTTCCGTTGCCATCATCATCTGATATAAGGGCTTGGGGCTTGCCAAACGCTGCATAATGAGTATGAAGTCAAGCCTGACCTCACCCTTTGAGGTAAGATTTTTTTTAATCTAAATCATGCACTTCAATTCGAAATTTAAACTGGGAAAAAAACATACTCGTATTACCTTATTAAAATTCTTCCTCTATTTTAAAGTAATGAACCAGACTTGACTGACCTATCATTTGAAAACTTTACATGTGACTGATCAAAATAGTAGACTAAGATACTCACGGTTAAGATATTGGAGAGCTAGAGTGTAGCAGATATTGAAGAGAAACATGAACCCGCAAAGTGCCCCGAGACCTATCCAATACCATTTAGCTTCTGCGAAGAATCCTCTTGATCTCACAACTACATCACCAAGTGGTTCAGTGCCATTCGGGGCAAACTGTTGTAATAAAAAAACCAGAAAAATTAGTTCGATTCACATAAGTAAATGTGTTCAGATATATGTCCTTACATGTCTCCAGCTCTTTCCTTTAAATTCATTAACAAGAATCGCATTTATAGCATACATCATTGGTGAAGACCAATAGCCCCAAATCCACCAGCTCTTCACATCATCTGCAAAATCAGAATGAAAAGCAAACCGTCCAACGCAAACTATCACATAAACTAAACCAGATTTACATGATACTCCGTACATAACTATTGTTAACACGCAAACCTCGAGAGATCACAAAACCAGACAAAGCAAACGTTAAAAGCAAAGCGAACATTCCAAATGTGTTTGCAACTCCCATAGTCCTACCCACGGCTGCAATGAGTCGGAACAAGGAGGAAGCCATCTGGTTCACCATTATCATTAACAAGAACTGTTTGAACAGCCTGAACAAGAAAAATTAGAGTTAAAAAGATTAGTTAGCGATCAAATAGTGTGATGCCCATTTGAATCATCAGCACACACATTTTTTACCTGCCAACATTTGGATCGAAACCAATGACATAGTATGTAACAAAAACCCAAAGACCAGTTTCAACAAATGTAATAGGCACTTTGAGGATCCATGAGGGAATAGCATAAGCCCAAGGAGGGAAGAATAAGAGGTCCCTTTGCTTGTAGAACACCGGTAGTCATTGAAACCTCAGCAAAACCATTGAACATAACCATAATCACACCAAAAACTAGGGCTCCCAGGAAAATCCCACCGTCCGTCTCATTATCTTTCATCATTTCAGTTCGGAGAAACAGTGTCATGGAAGTTAAAGCCATCGCCAAAAGCTGGAGTCCGTTTATAAACAAACAATGCCAAATCAATTCTATTCACAATGTGAAATAACAAAACCAAGATATAACCCCAAGACAATTTTAACCGTACAATCAATTACTCACTTGAAAGAACTTAAAGATGTAAGCAAATGAGTTTCTGCGCATTAGCAAATACTCTCTATCAGTGCAAGCCTTCAAGAGCTGCCCCTTGCTTATACCATATCTCTCTCTGCTTAAGGCGGCCGGGTGGCCTTTGGTTTTATCAAACGGGACCGAGAGCTCACCCAGCATCTTCCCCCAAACATGGAAGGATCGGTATGCCTCCGCAAACTCCTTAGCCTTCACAAACCTATAAGGCTCGTCTCTGCGGACCCAATATTGTTGTTGATCTTTCTTGGAAGTCACCTACGAAAGACTAGATTGTAAATAACAATGCACAAAATGTCACTCAATGTTATTGGGAGATGATGAAGTGTGGATAGCACACATACTTCTTGCAAGAAATCGGCAACCCCTTTTATTTCGGGGCACCTGAACCCCATGGACTCGAAGAAGTGGAGGATCTCCTCGCGAGGACCATGGTAAATGGCATACCCATCGGACAACAGAATGATGTCGTCGAAGAGATTATAGGTTTCCGGCGCCGGTTGGAGCAGAGAAATCACAGCAGTCCCCTTGAGGATGCACGTATTGCCTCAGCGAGTTCACGATGGAATAGGTCGTGGAACTGTCGAGCCCCGTCGAGATTTCGTCCATGAACAGAGCTTTGGTCGGCCCAACGAGCATTTCGCCGGTGGTCACGCGCCTTCTCTGCCCGCCGGATATGCCTCGTATCATCTGATCGCCGACCATCGTGTCTGCGCAAACTTCCAGCCCCAGAATCTACAGAATACAGACGCATTAGCGTCCACTTTTCCCTGGGGTGATTCCATCGGAATTGTCTTTCGCAGTTCTCCTTGATGATTCAAAGATCAAACTATGAGTGAGTTACCTTAAGAACATAATCGGTGAACACATTTTCTTCTTGTCCTTCAGTAGCTGCAGCCTGTGTAATATGGGGGCAATTAAAATGAATGCTTGAAGTTGAGTCAAAATTGTGTAAATCAAATTTAACTCAATATGTTTTTTCAAATTAATCTCTAAAATAAATTAATTATTCAGATGGTACTTGCTAATTGAAATTAGTTTCTCAATTCAGTCCCAACGTCATATATAACATGCTTATAAACTTTTGAGTTGAATTACATTAGATTCAATCTTTTAATATGGTTCATGTCAACTCTTTTATGACCTGTAGAGTGATCCCTACCATGTTCTAAATTATCATGGTATCGGAGTTTAGTTTTAACACACCTCGTTTGTAGAGATGTGCATTTAGATGTTCATTTCTAGTGACTCTAGTCTTAAATAAATTGTCCGTGTTTGGAATGCATATCCCATGGTAGGGGTGGACATGATACCGGTTCGGTACCGTTACCATCGCCGGTACCACCGGTACCCGCCACCGTCCCCGTCAACAAACATGTTACCTGGTTCCGGAAACCGGTACCGATACCGCCCCACTCGGTACCGGTTCCGGTGTCAGTATTCCCGTATCGGCACCGGCGGTACCGATACCGGTTCCCGTACCTATATCATTTTTTTTTGCTTTTCCTACTGTCCAAAGTACAAACCTGCAAAAAAAAATGTAAACATTAGTGGGAGCCTGGGAGGGGGTTCTCTCAAACGGCTATAATGCCGTTGAGGGGAGGGGGGGTTGGGGGTTAGGGGAGGGGGGCAATCTTCACTATAAATACACAATTTTTTTAAAAAAAATATCACACCATTCTCATTTCCTCTTAATCCTCTCTAATTCTCTTAAATCTTAATTCTCAATTCATATTATCTCTCTATACATTTTATATTTATATAAATATATAAATATATATCAACATATTATATAATATATAAATATATACTCATATAAATATATAATATTAAATTTTTAGTTATACATTCATTATTCATATAAATATATAATCATATAAATATATAATCATATTCTCATATATTAATTTGTTATAAAATAATATTATAATTTTGAAATTTAATATATAATTAATATTATAAATATTTTAATATAGTCTTTTTTTATCAAAAAAATATATTAAAATGTCGATAAAGTCCGGTAGAAGGTCCGTGGATATGGGCGCCGTGAACCAAGTTCAACCGATGGAAGTCCGAGTTCTGAGGAATAAGTTATAAACTTTTTTTATGTTAATGTAGATATGTAAATATATAATTAGTTTTCTTAGGTGAGTGATATATAAGCTCCTTCGAGAGTTTCTTTACGGTTTTTTACCTCGTCGCTTTTTTTGAACCGTCAGGATATTAAATGTAGTTGTTCTTCAGTTCGTGTATTACTTCTTTTACAATATTTAAATAACAACTACATTTTTAGATTTTTTATTTCATTCTTTCCTTTAACAATTGCAAATTTATAATTTTACACTTTAAAAATGTTAAAAAAAGCAAAAAAAAATATATTGATCATTTGATAAAATATAAAATATTCTTATTAATTTTTGTTTGATAAACTTTCGGTGTAGCTTTTTAGTATGTAAATTGTAATTTTTTATTTTTACATTAATTTGTAAATAAAATAAATTTAAAAAACATAATTAAGAATTTGTACGTCATTTGTATAATGCAAATAACTCTGAAATGGAGAAAGTATGTGATTATTAAGAAGATCCACAAACTTTTAGATAATATTTGCATACATCTAATCTAAGATTTTTACTATCACCAGCTCACTTACATATGTGTGTGAACCATTCCCCCAATGTGTAATGTCAAACATAAAAATATATATTATATTCTATCCCGTCTCGTAAAATTCTTCCTGTTTGAATAAATGTACATCTTTAAAAAGAGTTATTTTGGTGTTATTTTCTAATTATGACGCATCTATCCTACACATCTCATCCTACTCTATTACTCCTTCCGTCTCACAAAAAAGTTCTCATTTTGATGTATTTTTTGTCAAACAGCTACACGCTTTGATCATAAATTAAATATAATCTAAATAAAGAAATGCTAAAAAATTTGTTAAATTTATTTTATAATTCAACATATCTTTCTCACAATTTGTAATCAAAGCCTTTAAAAATATTTGACTAAATACTATTCAAAATGAAAAAAAATTTGTGGGACGGAAGAAGTATAAAATATGGGAAAAGATAGAAAATACTAATAAAATCACTTATTTTGAAGTCATACTTTTTATAAAAAAAAATAGGAAGAATTTTATGGGATGGAGGGAGTAAGATGGAGTTCAAATGATCAAGCTAGCTATATGGGCTTCAACCTTATTAATTTGAATTAAGTTATGGGTACACCAACATGGAGTACCCAAGTGTTGCACAGATATTTTGTGTCTGTGTGTGTCTGTGTTGACTTGGTGTACACTTGGGCTACCCCATGTTGGTGTACCCCTAGCATTGCCCTATTAATTTACCTTCATGTATAAGTCGATATCGTGGTCGGGCTTGATATTCGCGGCCTTCTCCCTTCTTGTTAACTCCACCAACATCTCTGCATGCACTCACTCAAACATGCATAAATCAGGATTTGAAATTGCCAACCATAAACTGTCTAAGAAATTAAACCAAAACTACAGCAAGCAAGCAAACAAACAAACCATAGCGAGAGCCAACGCCCTGGCACGCCGCGGAGAAGTGCAAGGTTTCGCAGACCGTCATTTCTCCGATGTGCAAATCGTGCTGGCTAATGTAAGCAGACGATCGTTGTGGCACGATATCCTTCAGCTCGTGCCTGTTGTACGTCACTCTCCCTCCCGCCCTCAGGCCCTCGTCGAGTTTCCCCGCGAGTGCTAGCAAAAGTGATGTCTTTCCGGAGCCCGGAGGCCCCAGTAGTAGTGTCATCCGGCACGGTTTGACGATCCCACTCACATCATTCAAAATTGTGATGCACCTCCTTTTGCTCTTCCTCATGTGAAGGCTGCTTGCTATATCCTTTTAATTCATTAAAACAAGCTAATAAGGGTTAATCATATCTATATCTATTAATGAACTAAACTTTGGATGATTGATTAAGTCTTGTCTTTAAGTTGGTTCCTTATATACTATATTTATTACACACCTCAATGAAATTGGTAAAGAAGTTCATGAAGGAAGGCAAAGCTCTGCTGCCTTCATAAGCAACCGCCTCCACCTTCAGATTCTCGTACCTCACTTCAATGCTCGGAAGATCGATCCCCACTCTGTACGCATGTGTATGGAACGTGAGAGGTTTGGTTCGTGGAATTCAGAACGAAAAGAAAAAAAAATGATTTTCTTCCCTTTTCCCCGCCAAAACGCAAGAGAAGTTAGATATTCTCTTTTTAGTTCATTTCTTCTTCTCGTTTAAGGTTTCTTCTATTTTTCTTTCAATTTTCTCTCTAACAAAATAAGAAAAATTGTTTTCCACCATATTTTCTTTTCTCTCTCTTTCAAATTCAATTCCTTAAACCGAACATAGGGTCATAGTATTCAATGTTATACAACTATTAGTATATGATCTTTTACAGACAAACCTGTCCAATCTGTTCTTGAGCTTCATCAAGAACTTCTCGTTGTCCTCGTCAGCGACATTCACGAGCCTCTCGAGCAGAGCCTTCCTCTCTTCAAACCCGAGGCTTTCGATATCCACCTCAGTCGGGGGCCCTTCGGAGCCGAGCATGAGCCCTTTTTGGAGGCGATCGAAAGTGGGCAGCTTCTCTAGGGCTGCCCACCTCAGAGCCTCCTCGTCGTCCTCGTCCCTCGACGACCGGGAGAACGCCTGCGCCCCGGCGGTCCTCCATATAGCAGAGGTGCTACCTGCCCTAAGGCTGCCTCTCAAACTCCCGGCCCTCGCACCGGCCGCCCCCTCCATCCTCCTGTGTTTCTTTGAAGGGTATTTTGCAGCCACATTTATAGTGGGATATTGCATGCAAGCTGCGTTAGGGTACCCCCAACATTTGTAGTCAAATGGTCATTTGCAAAATATTAGAACTCTTTCAATATTTGACATATAATCAAATAAAATATATTAATTAGACAAGATAATATTTTGAAAATAATTGAGAGAATAAATCTAACAAAATTATTTTTGTTTCAAAATCGATTGTCATTTTTATTTCATTTCACGTCAAATTTTACCAATTTTAACAAAAATCATAGGGATAGAGGGAGTATCATCTAGGCTTCGATGTTGGTCGCCAACGTTGATTGGTGGGTACCGCACATTGCTACCACACTCCACCATCACACAATCACCACTCACAGTACTAGCACTACTTAGTGGCCCAAATACCTATTTAGATAATAAAATAGTACTCCCTCCGTCCTCTTTGACTTTTTGTGGAACAAATAAAAAAGACCAATGAGAAAATCTATGAGAGACAGAGTATATATTACTCATATTTTAGGGGTCACCAATTCGAACCTCAATGAAATCCAATTTAAAAAGAGAGGCGTAACAAATTTTATTGGACAAAAAGGTGAAATTAGTCCTCTTAGATTGACACAACGAAAGCAAACCTAATATTTTTCACTTTAACGGAACAATTTGGGAACTGCGGAGAAGCTTCTTGTTTAAACTTCAATGATGAAATTATATAAAATCAAATTAAAATCTGTGCGCCAAAATAGAAAATTACATGTTTGGATATTAGCTTTTGAGACCAATTTTAACTATTTTGACTAACTTTGGCTATTTTAACCAATCAAACAGTCAAATCTTGTTTGGTAAATGATTGTTGGAGTTGGCTGTTAGAGTCTGAAAAACTAAAATATGAAAAGCTAAGAGGAGTAGCATTTTGAGTTGGTTGTTGAAATATAATTATTTATTATATAAATATTAATAAATTAATTAATTAATAAAAGCGAAGTTAATAAAAGGCAAACAAACAAACAAATAAATGAGTAAATAATAACTACTTTCTCATTTCACAAATGATATTTGCGAGGTAACATATTTTTTATAAGATCATTTTATTGAAAAAATGCTACAAAAATAAAAAATATACATATGAAATAAATTTTATAGTAAATATAATTTGTTAAATAGTCTAACATATTATAAAACTTACATGTTATATCTTTTATAAATTATATAATATCATACAAATCATATGCATAAAATTAAATTTTCAAATATAATTACAACTACAGCAGCTATTTAAAAGCAGCTAAGTTTGCCAAACATTTTTTGTGAACAACATAAGCAATCAACTGTTCAAATCAACTATCACGAAAAACTAACAACCAACCACCAACTTTCAAACAGGGCCTTCATGTTGTACACATTTCTGATCCCCATATTAAACATTGCTTGAATACTACTCTCTTCGTCTCGTTTTAAATCGACTGTTTTGACTTTTAGGTATATTTAAGGAAAAAAATAGAGTTAATTTTTCGAAATTGCCATTACTTTTTAAGAGGGGTGACGATGAATGAGAAGATAATGTAAAGAAGAGTGACTTATTTTAGGGGTAGTTTAGGTATTTTATTTTTAAAAGTTTACGAAAACAACTACTCCCTCTGTCCGGGAATATTCTTCCCGTGTTGACTTGACACGCTTATTAAGGAATCATAAAAAAATACCAAATTTCCAAAAATGCACATACTATAAACTTTTAAATCTCATTTTCTTATTAAAAAAGCAATGAAAAGTAGATTAGTGATGAAATAGAAGGGTATTATTGAAATTTATCCTTAAAAAGTATACTAAAAAAAGAAATGAGAAGAATATTTCCGGACGGACCAAAAAGGAAAGTGGGAAGAATATTTTCGGACGGATGGAGTAACAGACAACTTATTTTGGGACGGAAAAAAAAGACAAACAAGCAATTTAAAATTGGACAGATGGAGTATATTTTTATCCCAAATTAAGACAACTAGATTGTGAGAAAATGATATTGTATATTTGAATTCTATGATTTTTTTAAGTATTTTTTGTTGGGATTGTTGAATTCTATTGTATTACCTCCATTGTACAAAAAATTCCCATTTTGACCATAAATTGGTCAAATTGTTGCACACTTTGACCCTAAATTAAATATAATCTAAATAAAGAAATGCTAAAAAATTTTGAGATATCAAAACTAGATTCTAAGATTAATCTAATTATATAAAATTTATTTCATAATTCAATATACCTTTTTCACAATTTATAGTCTAAGCTTGTAAATATTTAACTAAATTCAAAATGATGATTTTTTTATGGGACGAAGAGAGTATCTTTCAAATTCTGCCGAATATAATATGGAAAGTCATAATAATACTCCCTATTAGGCCATGAGGTCTCCTCTCTTGCTTTCCCCTTTTCTCAACTCAGTGTGACGTCATCTTCAACATTTCTTTCCTCTTCCAAGAAAATGTCTTCGCATTTTCCCTTCAATTTTTAACATTATTCTTTAGCACTTACTCCGTATTCAAATAATTAAAAATTTCATATATATATATATATATATATATATATATATATATATATATATATATATATACACACACACATACATACATATATATAATTAATTAATATATATGGATTACTGCAGTGAGATGACATGCTTCGGTGAGATGACGCCAAGCTCACCACATTACACTGCAAAACTCACCAATGACCAATGCAAAGCTCACCTAGAAATAAAGCAAAGCTCACCACTTTGAACACTAAAGCTCATCTTTTTTTAATTTTGAAAATTAAAAAATTAATTAAAAATAAAATAGCAACACCGATCAACCATCGGTCAGCAGCGGCGTCCAGCGGAGGCGGAGCGGTGGAGCAGTGGCGGAGACCGGAGGAGGTCGGAGGCCGGCGGTGGTGGCCGGCAATGGTCAACGGTCAATGGTCAAAATATAGTCAGCACCCCATCTTTTGATTCTATTTTTTCAAAAAAAATAAAGTATTGAAAAAATATGTTGGACTTTGCATTACAGTTTGGTGAGCTTTGTAGTTGTCCTTGGTGAGTTTTGCATCATCTGATCGTAGCCTGTCATCTTACCGTAAAATGTCATCTGACTGGAGTCAATACAAATAGGTCTCAATCCTATTTAAAATATATAAATCAAGATATTAAATATGAAAATGTTGTACGAGAAGCTATAAAACATCAAGTGAACATAAGAGCAGTGGTAATACTCGTAATGCCCCCTTGCGTTATTTCTATTTTGACGCCAGGGGCGTTAAACACCGCCCCTCCCTCGCTATTCCGGCGTCATCCTCCCTGCGTCAAAATTTTGACGCATGTTGGACTCGAATTCCTGTCGTTTTTGGCAATTGGAACTCCCTCCCCATAACGGCTATAATGTCGTTGGGGTTTTAAAAAAATTCTTCTCTTCCCTTTATAAATTCATTATATTTTTTTAAAATTCAACACATACCACAAATACAAATATCTCTCTCCTCTTTCTTAAAAAAATGATTCAAGTATTTTTTTATTTTAACATGTATGATTTCGATTTTAACGTTCCTTCGTCCGGTCTCAAGCCAAACGAGAAAGCAATATGAATTTTCCAATTATACGCCGGTAATCCGTCGATGTATAATACGTAAACCTCAGTGAATCTCCAAGACCCGTAGTCAATTTCGGATACTCAACTGGAACAAAGTGTACCAAAAAAAGTGTACGTTGGAAGAGACACAAACCAAAGGGTGGCAAGTTGATGACCGAGGGAGCACAGTTCATTCAAAAGGGACATCGAAGGAAGAATCGTTGTTGGCGTCCGCTGGGATTGACGTCTCCGAGCATCCTATCGTTGGTAAATTTTATACTCCGTATGTTTTTAATATATATTGTATATATGTTCCTTTTATATATTTGTATTAATATTTTTGTTCAATTATATATTTCTTAAAGACTCCGAACAAACAAAGGATGCGATATGAGATTATGTCAAGGAGGAGTTCTTTGCAGCGATGAACAAGGACGCCTCCTACCGAACCTGAGACCAACTCACATCCAACTGGGGCCACGTCAACCGCAAAGTTCGAAAGTGTATTGGAATTTACGAGGAATGCTCTCGGTTCTGGAAGAACGGGACGAACGATTCCGATGTTCTGTGTGGCAAGCCACCGTTCGATATCAAGACGACGTACACCAAAACAAGGTCCCCGTTGATCTTTGGAGAATTCTAATCCGTTCACCGAAATGGCAACAACTCAACAACCCCAAGGCCGGATCGTCAAAGAAAAGATCCTCCGCTGAGGTTGAGGTCGATGAGACTATCGGCTCTTCAGAACAAAGGCCCCCCTTCAACCTAGGTGACTACAAAGACGAGGACCCAATTCTACGGTCGATCGGAAGTAAGAAGGCAAAATCCATTGCCTCAGGTTTTGGAGTATCTGCTCTGTTTTTTCTCGCGACGGTATCGCCTGGCAATGGTCGAACAACTTCGCATGTTCAATATTATGGAAGAAGAGAGGGAGAAATGAAGGCATGAGAAAGAAGAGGTCAAACTAATGAAAACATATTTTGATACGTTAATGGGCTTCAAACGTATCCTTTTTAGAGAAGATAAAAAGAGATCAAAGCCAAATATATTTTGCTTTAATTTTTTTTATTAATTTATTTTTTTATTAAATATTATTTTTTTATTGAATGCACTTTTTTAACTTAATGAATTATTGTCATTTAAATTTAATTCAAATGAAATGTTGTTTAATTTAATTTTAGAAAATGTATATTAAAAATGTAAGAAATAAAAGCTTGAAGTCTGGGACTTTAAATCTGTTTCTAGTGAAATTGTGAATATCAAGAAACCAACTCAACCAAAAGTTCAAGCTTGTGGTTGTGGCCCAGGAACAGTTATTTATATTCTAGCACGCCCCCTCACGTGCAAGCGTAGTCTTTTACAAGCCTTGCACGTGAAACTTTAATTTTTTTAAACTGAGAGGTGTTGAGTTTCGAACCTGTGACCTCTTAGTCAACATGACTCTGATATCATGTCAACGAACCAATTCAACCAAAAGCTCAAGCAATATATCAATTATTTAATATTATATATTATAATAACAGTTGTTACCTATTATATTTAGAGTTATTATTATATAATATTACCTTATATAATTAGTCATTAATGTAGAGGGTTCTAGAATATATTTCTCCACCTATAAATACATACTTTGTATTATTTTCTTATTTATTCAATCAATAAAGTATTCTTTATTATTTTTACACTGAGTAAAGTTAAAACTGATGTGAAAAAGATTTTTTTTTGAAACTCTCATTGAAGCCCCTGAATTTCACGAATATTACCCATGATATAAGGTTTCTAGATGAAAGAAGTTTTTTTTTTTGAGTAATAAAAAGCAGTTATAGTTAATGAAAAAAATGTTGAAAGTAGAGACGAAGTTGTTTGACCAAGACAACAAAAAAGTTTCACACTGCTTTGCCACCTCGACCGTCATGCCATATTTGACCTCTCCATAGTCCACTTTGCCGTTATTATATAAACTGGCCCCCTCCTCCCAACCTCCATCTCCAATCCCACACAAACAGCTCCACGCGGCTCTCTTTCTGTAAAAATAATAATAATAATATCCGATTCTTAGAGAAGAGAATCGTCGGCCGGATAATTCAGACAAGTGTGGAGCTGCAACTGGGGGGTTGGCCGGAGTAGGGTTTGGAGAGGAGGTTAGTGAGGCGGCGCGTTAGCGCGTGGCGGCGGAGGATGGAGCCTGTGAATATAGGCGTGATAAGAGGAGGGAGCATAAGAGGGAGCCTGAGAGGGAGCTTGAGAGGGAGTTCCAGAGCGAACAGCAATTCGATTTGGAGGAACACCGGCGTGGAGGTGTTTTCCCGGTCCTCGAGAGACGAGGACGACGAGGAGGCTCTGAAATGGGCGGCGCTGGAGAAGCTGCCGACGTTCGATCGGTTGAGAAAGGGGCTCCTGTTCGGATCTGACGGGCCGGCGGCCGAGGTCGACATCGACAATCTCGGAGTCGAAGAGAGGAAGGCTCTGCTCGAGAGGCTCGTGAATGTCGCCGATGAGGACAACGAGAAGTTTCTGATGAAGCTCCGGAACAGAATCGACAGGTTTTGCTCTGAATATTAGGTTTAATTTTCTCTGCTCCTAATCAATTCATCCATCAATTTCATAATCGAATTATTTCACACAGAGTCGGAATTGATCTTCCGAGCATTGAAGTGAGATACGAGCATCTGAACGTGGAGGCAATTGCTTATGCCGGCAGCAGAGCTCTTCCTTCCTTCATCAACTTCACTACCAATTTCATCGAGGTTCGTTAAGCTCTGATGGCCTCTTCAAATTCTCTGATTCACTTGTTTCTAGATCTGGCTTTACAGATTTGGCTTCACTAATCTATGTTTCATGTAAATTTATTTACTCCAATTTGCCTTATCAATTGTCTCGTCCCTCTTAAAGGATTTACTGAACGCCCTTCACATCACCAAGAGCAAAAAGAGGAAAATCACAATCCTGGATGACGTCAGCGGAATCATCAAGCCGGGCAGGATGACGCTTCTGTTGGGGCCTCCCGGCTCCGGGAAGACGACGCTTCTGCTTGCGTTGGCCGGGAAGCTGGACAGGGATTTGAAGGTGGGAGGAAAGGTGACGTATAACGGGCACGAACTCAACGAGTTCGTGCCCCAACGAACCGCGGCGTACATAAGTCAACACGATTTGCACATCGGAGAAATGACCGTCCGGGAGACCCTGGAATTCTCTGCCAGATGCCAGGGCGTCGGGTCTCGATATGGTTCGTGATTCCTGCAGTAATTTGTCCGAAATGCATGTTTTTTTTTAATTTTGTCTGGGAGTCTAGTTTCATTTGGTAGAATGTTTCTGAAAATTCTTTGCAGAAATGTTGGCGGAGTTGTCAAGAAGAGAGAAGGCAGCAAATATCAAGCCGGATCCGGACATTGACGTATACATGAAGGTATAAAGTTTTATTTACTGTTGTATCATATATGAATGTGTGTGCATGAAAAATCTTTGCAATGAGTACTTCGTGCCTTTTTTTTGTCTTAAAATTACCTTTCATTTCATTTTAAAGTGAAGATGATTCATATTATTTCTTTTTTCTAAATTAACTATAACTCCACAATTCATATTTTCTTGATATTCCTACGAGGTCAACCGTCAAAGCGAGCTTTTAAAAATTCAAAAGGATACAATTTCAATGGTTTCTTGAGTGAAAAAAATCAATGGCTATTAGGGATATATGCGCCTCTTCTGTTCATCTTAATACAGTAATAAGTTAATAAAAATGGCATTTACACTCCAAAATATACTTTACTGAATATTGTATTTTGGAGTGCCAATATTACAAAGTGGAGTGTAAATATATTTTCTTAATACTAGGTAAAAGTGTGTAAAGTGTGAAACCAAACCACAAAAAATTTGGTGTATGAAGAAATAATGAAAAATGCTAGGGATACACCGTCAAGTAAAATTCAAAAAAAAAAAATAAAAAAAAAACAAAATAAAATGAATGGTAAAAAATGTGTTGATGTATATTTGGGTACACCAAAAACATCTCCCAGACATAATTGAGGAAGGTCTGGTGTTAAGGCACGGGGTCATATTAAGCTTTGAAATGTCAGCATAGACTTTTGAGTAATGATAGGGTAAATCTTTGGTGTACCCCATTTGTCTCCCACCTCCTTCTTTACTACCCATTTTGTTTAATTTTTATTTATTTAATTTTTTTAAATTTTACTTCTATTTATGTGGTGGAGAAGGGGTGGGGGTGGAGGACAAATGGGCACCCTAGCATTTTTCTAGACTTTTTTATCCTCGCATAAGTGTAAACAAGGGGAAGAAGATAAGATTTTAGTGGCCGATACAGCAAAGTCAATAATTGCGATTACGACAGGACTTTTCTTTTTTAATAAAAACGACGACAGGACCTAATACGAGTACAATAATACTCCGTATTTTTTTACAAAAAATTACAGTATTAAAACGACCTAATAAATGTTGATTGAGAAATATAAACTGCCTTGTTTTTTTTTCATTATCAAATACTCTCTCCGTCCACAATTTGATTACAAATTATGGGTTACGGAGTAAAATTTTCTACTTTTTGAAATAATTTTATTTACAAATTCATATATTAATAAGATATAAAAATCATATATTAAAAAACTACGTCAAAAGTTCTACAAAACAAGAGGTGACAAGAATATTTTATTTTATCAAATACTTAATGAAATCACATAAACAAACAAAAGTTATCGAGAGGAGATAAAAAAAATTATAATCTATTTAGGGAAGGAGGAGTATATTTATAGTCTTTTTCCACCAACAATTTGCGAGCTACGACAAAAGGTGACAAGGTAGCACCAAAGTCTGAATGACACGCCCCAAGGCCCCATATCCCAGCCCTCTAGTACTGTAGATGTAATCTTATGACTCCTATACAACTTACTCCGCACAGAAAAACATTTCTGTTTTTGGAAACTGAAGTGTAAATAGTTTGAAGGCATAATTGGATAAGATTAGTATCTGATCAATGAAATTCCAGTTGTGAATTCACCCTATTTTTTGTTAGAATAAATGAAATTACTCCGACAGCATTTGAAGTAGAGTTCATTCAACTGATTTATCAAAACACACATTATAATTCTACTTACTGGCTGTTTAAAAAATGGGTTCTTTTTACAGGCTGCAGCTACAGAAGGACAAGAAGCCAATGTTGTCACTGATTACGTTCTTAAGGTAATTTTTGGTCATCAAACAATAAAATTTAACTGTATACACAATCTAAAAGAAACAAGTGCAGGAAAGAATTGGAGATTAATGAATCTCTGTTGTGCAGATTTTGGGACTGGAAGTATGTGCAGACACAATGGTTGGCGACCAAATGATACGAGGTATATCTGGTGGGCAGAAAAAGCGCGTGACCACTGGCGAAATGATGGTCGGACCAGCAAAAGCTCTTTTCATGGACGAAATCTCCACAGGACTTGACAGTTCTACAACCTATTCAATCGTCAACTCGCTGAGGCAGAACGTGCACATTCTCAAGGGAACTGCTGTTATTTCTCTGCTCCAACCAGCACCAGAGACCTATAATCTCTTTGATGACATCATTCTGTTGTCGGATGGGTATGTCATTTACCACGGGCCTCGTGAAGACATCCTGGATTTCTTTGAGTCCATGGGGTTCAGATGCCCAGAGAGAAAAGGGGCAGCTGATTTCTTGCAAGAAGTATGAACTTATTTCACATTACCATGTCCCAAGAATATTAATATTGTTCTCTTCTGCATTGTACATTTGTGGTAAATAAACTGGGTGTGTGACAGGTGACGTCCAAGAAAGATCAACAACAATATTGGATCCACAGGGATAAGCCTTATAGGTATATCAAGGCAAAGGAATTTGCCGAGTCATATCAATCCTACCATGTTGGGAGGAAGATGACACATGAACTTTCAGAGCCATTTGATAAAACCAAAAGCCATCCAGCAGCCTTATCAAATGACAAATATGGTATAGGAAAGAAGCAACTGTTGAAGGTTTGCACCAATAGAGAGTATTTGCTAATGCAAAGAAACTCATTTGCTTACGTCTTCAAATTCTTTCAGGTGAGTCATTGATTATATTTTGGAGTATTAATTTAAAATGATTTTTGGTTTCACATTGTGAAAGTATCTGATGTGGCATTGTTCGTTTACGAATTGTGTTCAGCTTTTGGTGATGGCATTGATCTCCATGACACTGTTTTTCCGAACTGAAATGAATAAAGATAATGAAACGGGCGGAGGGATTTACGTAGGTGCCCTGTTTTTTGGGGTGGTTATGGTTATGTTCAATGGTATGTCTGAGCTTCCAATGACTATCTACAAGCTGCCGGTGTTCTACAAGCAAAGGGACCTCCGTTTCTTCCCAGCTTGGGCTTATGCTATTCCTTCTTGGATCCTCAAAGTGCCTGTTACGTTTGTCGAAGTCAGTATCTGGGTTTTTGTTACTTACTATGTCATTGGTTTTGATCCAAATGTTGGCAGGTGAGCACAATGTCTATTATTTATCCTAATATGTATCACAATATAATCTCTTACTTGATTATAGATCAATAAGTGACTTTTTTTCACCACCCCCTCTTTACTTTTCATTTTCTGTTTCAGGTTGTTCAAACAGTTCCTGTTAATGGTAATGGTGAACCAGATGGCTTCTGCATTGTTCCGATTGATTGCAGCTATGGGTAGGACAATGGGAGTTGCAAACACATTTGGATCTTTTGCATTGCTTTTGTTGTTTGCTTTGGGTGGCTTTGTGCTCTCTCGAGGTTTGTGTTAACAAGGGTCATATATTACCATATTATGCAAGCATTTTATGATATGTCTGATTTGTTATATTACACAAGCCTTGTTTGAATTGTCTGATATGAAAACAGTGTTTTGCATTCTGATTCTGCAGATGATGTGAAGGATTGGTGGATTTGGGGCTACTGGTGTTCACCCATGATGTATGCCATGAATGCAATTCTTGTTAATGAATTTAAAGGGAAGAGCTGGAAACATGTAAGCACATATATCTCAGTGTGTCTTGCAATTTTCCAAATGCACACACTCACATTCGAATCACACTGATTTTTTTGTTATTTCAATAGATTGCTCCAAATGGTACTGAACCACTTGGAGATGCAGTTGTGAGATCAAGAGGATTCTTCCCAGAAGCTAAATGGTATTGGATAGGTCTCGGGGCACTTTTCGGGTTTATAGTAGCCTTCAATGTCTGCTATGCACTAGCTCTCCAATTTCTTAATCGTGAGTATTTGTCATTTAATAATGGTACTTAAGGACCCCCCACCCCCAACCCACCACCACACAATCATGTTCTAGATTGTAACCTCTCTCTCGTTATGCAGCATTTGGCAAACCCCAAGCTCTTATATCAGATGATGACGACAACGAAACTTCTGCCCAGAACACCTCTCAACAACCATCACAAGTTGGAGGAAATAACATCAGTGAGAC